TGAAGACAAGGTCAACTGGATTTTCTCTCCAACACTTGTATCACATCAATCCTCCCCAAAACTGTATGTTTATGTTTAGGGGCAAAGGTTATGTCAAATTTGGGGGTGGAGTGATAGATTCTATATCCTGTCAGGTCAATAGAAGGAGTATTATTCCCTTCCCCCCATAATTGTAACTTAGCTCAATCATACTTTTATTGTTATTAATCCTCTAGTACATGCACTACTGTTACATAATACTACTGTTACATACGTTCTTTACACTTGTGGTAACTTGGCAGTCTTCACATTAATGTGAATTAAAGTTTCTAGAAAAAGTATTTTCCAGAAATTATGTATTAAGAGAGATGTGCGGCCTGCTGTAACTCCTGTCACTTTAAGTGAAGGACAGAAACAGTGCATTTGTATTTCTTTCTCTAATTTCTGAGCAGTTCTCAGATACATGTTTTAATACTTTCATGTAAGCAAACTTAACACAGCTGGATTCATGCGGTCTTTATTAAGTTGACAAGTACAGGAAGATCTGCAATCATCTATCAAAATTTTATTTTACCAAGAGTTTGAAAGGTATTTTAAAAAAAGATGTATTCACAGTCTGAATTATGTACAAAAGCAGTGTGTAGAAAGAGGCCTCAGACAAGGAACATGAGAGGAAATTACCCACAGGAGCCCCCAGCCCAGCACCTCTCATCGCTTCATAAACCGATACAGTCCTCTGTGTGCTACAGTTGATTCTGAAGCTGCTAACTTTCAACAGAAAACTGCTTTCTGGGAAGTTTCTCCTGCAAGACACTACATACTGCAACACAGCTACACACTCGAGGGCCCAGGACAGGCCCAAGTGCCTTCTAGTGACAACAGGTTGTGATGCTGAGGCCCCCGGAGACTGGCTGACATTCAAGAATGGGTTCATTTCAGCACCAGGCTGCTTTTTAATGCATAAAGCGGAGGTTTTAGATGCCCACTAGGCTGTGATGCTGCTTGTGGTCACTTGCATGCCAGTCTCACCCTGGTGGAGGCACTTCCTACCAAGTAAGAACTGCTCAGATGATGTCCAGATGATTGAGATTAAGCAAAAAATGATTTAGAGGAAAAGTATTTTACCACAGGATTGGTTTCTCAGAGAACCAATCATTTTTTAAACATCAGTTTTCTAAGACCTCCACTGTCCATGTGGATGCAAACTATACACATTGGCTAGAGATGCTGCAACTGTCAGAGGAACTGGGCCATGACAGTGAAGCCCTCAGTAATGGCGAAAAGGAGCCACTGACAGGTATTCAGCATTTCAGTGAAGTTTAAAATATGTTCTAGCAGAAACCAAGACATTACCGCTGCACTCCAAGGCTGTATTTTACACGCCCCAGCATCTTAGACCATGCCATGAGCAGACAAGAACTGCGCAAGTCTGAGCGTCAGGAATGGCACCTCCTCTTAACACCTGCTAGTGGGGCCCTGAAGCTCTGTCACCTTTGCTTCCAAGGAGCATCACCCACCCAACAGGGGGGCCTGGAAGACCTCACTGGTAGCTTAGCTTTTCTGTCACACTTTGCATATTATAACAAGATGGGGCACGGAAAGTTGCTGAGGCCATGGAAAGGCCAAGTAGTAAACATTAATTGTTTGGGTGTCTACTATAGGAGGGGGGGGTTTCTATAATCAGGACATTTTTTAAAATGGAGATCCAGGAATTACAAGTATAAACAACACATTACCTGTTTTTTCTGTGGTTGACATCAGTAAACTTTCCAACTTTGACTGTTTTCTTCCAAGTTCTTTAGAAGATCTCCTCTCTCCATTTTCCTCCGCCAACTCAAAAGTGTGGTCATACTAGTGAAAGCGGTGACACACTAGCCTAGTGAGATTAAAAACGGGCTAGTGAGTCCACCTTCTCAGGTCATACTTTTATCACTTGTCTGGCTCAACTCCAAGACTGTGTGAAGGCACATCATCTGTGCAAACACTACTATTCTCTCTGGTGACAATATATTTTCCATGATGGAAGACTAGTATTTTAATATTTCAGGAACTACTGAACTAATTTTAAAAAGAACAACTGAAGTTCAAGTTCTCTGGCTGAGATCAGGGATCTAAAGAAATTTTAACAGTTCTCTGCATGTGGTTTCAAATAAGTATGTCTGAGATGTGGCTTGTATTGCTGTTGAAGGTACCCTGGAGTCTGTTCCAATTTCCAGTGATGCTGTGTACAGCAGAGCAAAAGGCAAGTGGATCCTGCACCATCTTCACAATTGTTAACTGTTTGAGCCCATTTTCGCAGTCACTGTGTCAAGCCATCTCAATTGGGGGTTCTTTTTCACTGACCTTCAACCAAGCACAAAGACCTTCTCCAGGGACTGCTTCCTTCTGATGACATGTTCAACGTACAGAAGACAAAGTCTTAGCATCCATACTTGCAAGGAGTATTCTGGCATCCACGACAACTTTCCCCCCGGTGTATACCATACTCTCTGCCAACAGCATCATTCAAATGGTTCCTTGTTCATTGTCCAGCTTTCACATGCATCTGAGGCAACTGCAAATATCACAGGTTGGGTCTGGTACACCTTAGTTCTCAAAATGAGATTCTTGCTTTTGAACACTAATGGGATCTTTTGCAGATTTTTCCAGTACAATATATCATTTGACCTCTTGACTGCTGGTCCTATGGGTTTTGAGACTGGATCCAAGTATAATGAAACCCTTGACAACTTCTGTCATTTTCTGTTCAGCTTGCTGCTGCTTATTGGCTGTGAGGATTTTTGTTTCCTCAATATTGAGGTGTAATTCACACCAAAGGTGTATTCTTGGCTCTTCATCAGTAAGTGCTTCAAGTCTTCTTAAGTGTAGAAAGTGATATCCACATCCTCCCACGAGAGACACAGTGAATCGAGTGGATTTAAGTATTCTCTCACACTTCACACATCTTCTTTTCAAATTAATCTTGCCACAGAAGATATAACACTTTGGGGACCCTTGCACAAATAAAATACTCTAAACCAGGGTTCCCTAAATGCTTCCAACTAAAACTGGTGTTTGAAGGCTTTGTCATAGCCTTTCAATTATGCTCACTCTAGAGGACAATGCCTTTGCGTGCTTCTACCTGTGTGAGAGGGAGAGAGAGAATCTTTGGGAACAGGGACTGATAAGAAACAAATTGACATGACAGAACCTATCACCCACCCTCATCTTCAATCTTTCTTAACACTTATTCTTCCTATAGTTCCCAACTGCTGAATAGGAACAAGTATTTATTTAGATTTAGGTTAGTACCAGCACACAACTCCTACTAAAGTTAGTTTCTTATACGAACTATCTCATGACAGAAGACATATACTCTGAACTCCCACCCTGGGTTAGGACGGGAAGGAGGAGAAAGCCGCAGGCAAAAGAACATTCTGGCCTTTCTTTACCCATAGGAGATGTAGCTTCTGAGTGACTACTGTGGCCAAGGGCATCTGCAGTAAAACAGAGGTCGCACCCTGCAGGCTGCACTTAGAAGTTTCTTGTGCACAGAGGATGATGGCTCTGTTGAGGCACTCTGTCTGACATAACAGCACAGAGCCTAATCTGCACTGCCACGTTCGCCGCTAACTCCACTTCCTGGAAGATGTGAGGTAATGAAGATGAGAGGCCACCAAACAGCCACTGTGCGGCTCTGGAGGCGCTCTCCGGACGCCGCCTCGCCAGTGCCCTGGGTATTCATTCCTTCTGTCTTCTGGCTGCTGCAGGCCTCTTTTCTCATCTCTTGGCTGCTGCTTCTCCTCCTGGTCCTGGTTCTGCCACAGCTTGCCATGGAGAACGGTTTCTCCAAACTCTCGCTTTACCCTGATATAACTGGTTCTAAACTTTAAAAACCAGCAGTGTTGGGTCACTAGTTCTGATTCTGACCCACGGTCAGAGACAACAGATGCAGGGAAAAAAGAAGAGCCAGGACAGACAGTGCTTGACGAGCCATTTCACTCCTCTTTAATTCTACCGTCTCTGGGCAAACATCTCATCTGCTACTGGAGAAATTAGAACAGAGAGGCTGATTCAAAACACATTCTTTGCATCACAAAAAGAATGAAAAACAAACAAACAAAAACCCCAAAACCCTGGGATATACCAGTCATCATCCACTATAATAGTGCTGTCTTACTGACCATGTAAGAGCAATGTTTGGGGGTGGGAATGCAGGAGTGAAGGGGTACAGAGGTGGCATCTGGGGTCAGATAAACTTTATAAGTCTGTCTCAAAGTGAAGAACTTGGTGGAAAACCTAGACTTTACCTAGGGATTGCGGAAAATTATTATTTCCAGAAGTTACTGAATTTGGAACGTGAGGGTGAGGTGCTTGGACAGGTCAGTCTCAAGCCTTGGGGAAAATGGCAAACATGGATGGCAATGGTGTTTCAGTGCCATTGAGACGAGAAATCATCAGAATCAACCTCCACATCTGACACAACTCAAGGGGGAAGAAGTCTCACGTGCAAAGGTCAAGCCTAGAACAAAAGAGCGGAAATGAAAGTGTGAGCCCCTTCGCACTTTTCCGTTTTGCTCTAGTGCCTGCTCTCCTTCAAGTACCTCTTGAAAAGGTCCAAAATTCAAAGAATATCAATTTTATTAGGCTGATTTTCGAGCTGTAGCTTGGCTTAAGCCACTCCACTTTAACCTCTTGGAGATGGTAGTCCTGAGAGTCCGCAGAGTTGGTAAAATCTACCCGTGACCAAGGGTCAAACTGCTGGTGGGAGTGTGGCAACTTCTTGGCCCATCAGCTCTCCTCGCTTCTGTCCCTCAGCGCTGGCAGATTTTGCTCCGAGGGACTTGGCTCACCACGATGAAGCATATTCAAAACCATTTTCTGTAGACACCTGCCTTTCAGTGCCCAATACAGCAGGTGGTCAGAAAGCTTGGAAGGAAGCTGCAAAGAGTCCAGCCGAGAATCTTGAATGTTAGGTGTGGATACAGGGAAGTCACCTTTGTCCTCCCCAGATTTTATTATCATCAAATGAGAAAAATTCATGAGATTCCAATAGCAAATATGCTAAATATAAAACTGATGGGATGCTAACTGGTCCATAAAGGGCTGCACGAGATAATCTGTGGCAAAGTAGAAAACGAGCCCGAAGGTGATAGAGATTGGGAGAGCTGGCAACGCTTTCTTGAAAATGGCGAGGAGTAGTAACGTAAGGCACAGGCCCTGTGGAGAAGAGGGAAAGACATCAACTCATAGGTAATCATGCAAAGTCATTTACGTGGCAACAAGGTCAATCACAAGCCCTGGTTTTAAATGAACTCAGTATCATCTATATGGGCAGAATTTTAAAATAAACTGTTTTATTGAATCTTTAACTAGAGCCATTAGAAAGAAACAGCTTTCTGATAAAAGGGATTTTCTTTGTTCAGAGTTCAGTATTATGGTGTCAGTGGTTTATTGTTCAAAATGTCTTTCCTAGCCATTGAGAAACTGTTTATTTTGTGCTGGAGTATTTATTGTGTTAAGGAGATAGGGTTAGGATGGGATACAAACCCCACTCTACCAGAGGCTTCTATAAACCCATGACAGCTAAACGCTAGCTCACTCTTTGGGACACCTGCTTTCCAGCTGCTCTGCAACTGGCAGTCTACAATGCTCACCCAGTCATGTGAATCATTCCCCTGAGAGGTCTGAGTCTCTGGGAGACCTTCCAGCCAACCACCAAACACAACAGACACAGAGAAGGGAGGGAACTGAATGAAGGAGGGATGGCTAATGTCGGAAATCATGGAATTATACAGCAAACATACATCAGGGACACGGTTGACTATGCACTTCTTGTAACTACTAATTTTCACAGAACAAATTAGGAATACAACTCTATACACACACAGTGACAAAGAGGGAGCTCTGGTGGCCCAGGGCTAAGAAGTTGCACTGCAATCCCTGGGGCACGCGGTTTGAATCCACCAACTGCTCTGAAAGAGAAGGATGGACAATTTCCTCTTGTGTGATTAAAACTCTCTGAACACCCACTGGAGGATCAGCTATGGGTCATAACAACAACAACAACAACAACAAGAAGTTGGTCCAGTGTTGTAGGTTATTGTTACAATGCTTAGCATTGTCTCCTACCCACACTCATACTTGATTAGCTTTATATTTAAAAAAAAACCCAAAAAACCAAAACAACCAAAACTACAACAAAATATATATATACATGGTTGATAATTCACTCCATGATTGTTAAGTAAGAAACAGAATCTGAAAATAAAATATGAGGGGGGTGGGGAGGGAAATGCAATGTCTACCTAAAAATAGTTCGCCTGTGGTTTCAATGTGACTAAAATCCCAGAGGGAAGAGCATTCTTTATGCTTAATGGGGCCCGACAAAAACATGTTCACAGAACAGACTGATAGCAAAGGTTGTCTGTGAAGTTTACACTGCTTTCCTGTAAACACTGAGCAGCTATAAGACAGTTTACTTTTTACCCAAGCTACTGAAGTACTTGACTATAAAGTCTGGAGACTGAATATGACTTCAATCAAGAAGTGATTTTCTTCGGAAAAGACATAAGTTCTCACAAATAATTTCAAATCCAGAAAGCTAACTTCTAAAGGGAATTCAAATACATGGAAATTCTAATTGGTTGTATTATCATAACAAATTACAAATGTAATTATAAAATAAATATGTAAGTAAAGACTCTTCTATCATTTATCTAACTTTATTCAGATACTGTATGTCAAAATTATTGAAGATAAGAAATTTAAAATAGTGTTAAAAAGTATTTTATGGATTACTAACTTTAATCACAGTTTGATAGCCTTAGAGTTCAAGGCTATAAGCAAGAACTCCACAGGGTCATGCATTGCATTAGCTTTTATCCTCAAAGTAGCAATGGATGCTGTAGGCTGTGAATGAACCACAAAATGACTACCTCAGTGACTAGGACAGGGGCTATGTGCAGGTCTGCTTAGCCCTTAAGACCTCTTATTCCTGTTGTTGTGTGCTGCTGATTTGAAACTGACTCATGGTTGATCCTTCAGAGGGTTTTAGAGGCAGTAAATCACACAAGAGGAGACTGTGCTCCTTCTCCCATGGAGCAGCTGGTGGATTCAAACTACATGCCTTTGGGATTGCAGAGCAGCTTACCACTAGCCCACTAGAGCCCCTTAGATTGAACTCTAGTACCATTTTCATTTATATCTAGACTGTTGGGCTTGACACAGCTGTTCATAAATCAGGTAGATACCAGAATTGTCTGGAGAACTTTTAAAAACTACACAATGAAAAGGTACATTAAGTGTTTTAAGACAAAGCTCACAGTTTAAAAAGTTTGTAGGTGATTCTAATGTGTGGCCAGAGCAGAAAACTAGCCAGGTGAAGACCAGCTTTAACAATCTTATATTGTTAAAACTCAGCTCAGGAAAACCGAGTCCGCCTGGGGCTAAACCTTAAAGGTATGGAGTGCTCGACAATGTTGAGATGAGAACTGTGACACCCCTGAGTGTATACTTACAATTAATATGGCTACAAAACAGGCTATAGTTGTGTTCCAGTCTCCACTGGCTGTTGCTGAGGCTTTACCAACTAGAACACTGTAGAAAATGAAATCTCCCAATCCAAGCTTGACTCCCCCTAGAGATGAAAGACAAAAATGTTTTTAAAGCAGTGACTTTGCTATAAGCTCATACTTCAAAAAGATCACTGCCCTATTCCCCTCTTAAATGAATGAGAAGTTAGTAATGACAGCATACAATACTTGGCATTAGTGGGTTTCTTCTTGTTCTGTTTTAATTTTCTATAATCACTAAAATCTGTAGTTTATTCTTTTTTTTTTAATTGTGATTTGAGTGAAAGTTTTAAAGCAAACTGGCTTTCCATTCACGTACATTTTCTTTTACACCATTAATTACAAGACCCACTGTGGTATTAAAGGTTTACTGTTCAAAAGGGTTTTCCTAGCCACTGATTAACTTTTTATTTTGTGAAGTGTATCTTGTACTAAGGAGACAGTATTAGGGAGGGATGTAAGTCCCACCCTACTTGAGGCCTATATAAGCTCACTCTTCTGGGATACAGCAGTGCTGTAGCAGACCAGCTGGAGGATCTTGGCCCATCGCTCGCCAGTGCAACACTGGCCTGCATCACTCATGAGTCATTTGAGTGTCTGACCTTCCAAAGAACCACAAAACCCAAGGGACATGAGAAGTGGGGGGAAAAATAAGAGGCGGAGGAAGAGCTGTAGTCAGAAATCATGGATTGGTTCAGCAGATCAAACATTTCGGACAGTACTGACTTCTGCCTTTTAGTAACTAGTCTGCTACTAATGCCAGCAGAATGAATTGTAAATAGACCCACAATACAATTGCATTGTTCTAATGCCAGCAGAATGAATTGTAAATGGACCCACAATACAATTGCATTGTTCTTCATTCCTCCCTGTAATTCTCATTTTCATTAATCTTTCTATACCACCTGCTCCTAACTATGGGCTTTACTCTTCGGCAAACACTACTGTTCTGACTTCCTATGATTTGTTATTCTCAGGAGCCAGTGCCTCCTGGCAACTGTTTACCTTATATGTCTATCTATTGTTTGCTGAAAGTTCAGCCATGGAGATGATTTTTGTTTCCAGTTTGAAGGGTGATTAATGGTCATAGTCTTGGAGGTTCCACCAGTCTCTACTGGACCAATGTGCCTGGATTTTTGTCTTTTTTAATTTGAATTTTGTTCTACATTCCCCTCCTTCTATGTAGAATCTTCTATTATGATCTCTTGGTGGTCATCTAGTTCTTCTGAACGTGGAATCACAGAGTTGAGGTTTATGTGGTCCATACCCCCAGACTAAGAATTTCTATACATCTTTGCTTTTCTCCTTGCTTCTCTCTTTCTGGACAAGGAGAGATCAGTAATTGTACCTTAGATGGCTGCTCAAGACCTTTTTTAAGATCCTAGACATTACTCACCAAAGTAGGATGCAGAACAGTGTGGACTAAGCTGTGGACTTACTCTGTGTTCTCCAAACCGATGGTCCTACTATCCCAAGATTAGCATTCATTTTCTCAGTGTGTTTCGTTATGATGAAGAAATTTACTTAGCTTTGGCTCATGCTGGTTATGCCATATGCTGGGATATAATTTATTGCATATACTAATACAAATAATATTAATACACTACTATGAACAGAACTCAGAGCAAGGAAATACTGCATGGTTCAAAACTGGGAAAAGGTGTGCACTAAGGATGTGTCCTGTCTCCATATCTTTTCAAACTATATGTGGAACAGATTATCTGGGAGGCCGGACTTTATGAGGAGAAGTGTGATCTCAGGACTGGAGGTAGACTCATAAACAATCTATGTTAAGCAGATGACACAACCTTGTTTGCTGAAACTGAGGAGGACCAGAAGCGTCTGCTGCAGAACGTCACGGACTGCAGCCTACAATATGGACTGAAGCTCAACATCAAGAAAACAAAGATTCTCACCACTGGGCCAGTTGGCAGCATCATGATAGACAGTGAAGAGATTGAGACTGTTGACAGCTTTAGTTTGCTTGGCTCTACCATCAACACTCTTGGTACTAGCAGCCAGGAAATTAAAAGACGAACTGCACTGGGAAAGTCAGCTATCAGAGACCTCTCCAAAGTACTGAAGAGCAATGATGTCAGTATGGAGATTAAGGTGTGCCCAATATAGGCCATGGTCTTTGTAATTACTTGTTATGCTTCAGAAAGCTGGAAAATGACTAGGAATGATTGGAGAATTGATGCCTTTGAGCTGTGGTTCTGGAGAAGAGTGTTGAATATATCATGGACTACTAGGAGAACAAACAAGTTCATCCTGGAGAAGGTGAAGCCAGGCTGCTTCTTGGAGGCAAGGATTCTGAAGCTTCGTCTGACATACTTTGAATATGTTGAAAGGTGGGATCAGTCCTTGGAGAGGGACATCATGCTTTGGAGGGTGGGGGGACAGTGCAGAAGAGGAAGACCTTTCATGAGATGGACTGAATAGGTCACTGGGGTAATGGGGATAGGTGTGTCGAAGACAATAAGATTGCTAAGGGATAGAGCAGGTTTAGGACTGCTGTGCATAGGGTTGCTTTGAGACAGCACATAACAACAACAACAATGAACAGATGCTATTGAGCGAGTAGAAAAATTGCAATTCTCATACACTGCTGGTCAGACTGAGAAAATGGTGCAACCATTATGGAAAGTAGTTTAGAGCTTCCCTTAAGAACAAAAAATGTGGGAAAAAACCAAAAACAAGAAATAGAAATATAATTTTATGTAGTAATCTAACTATTAGGTACATATTCTAAAGAAAAAAAAGAGATACAAATGAATAGATAGATGTATATTCACATTCACTGTACCACTATTTACAGTGACAAAGAGATAGAAACCCAAAATGTCCTTTGACAGATGAATGGATAAAGTAATTATGGTAGATACATGCAATACTCAAGAGCAGCGAATTCAAGAAGCTCTGCACATGGGGAAAAAAAAAATCTAGAAAGATTGTGCTAAGAGAAGTGAGTAACAAAAGGACAGATACCGTTTAAGTCCACTATTACAAAAAGCTAAGAGAAGGTTTATATACATTCTTGGATGGTAATCAGAGTTGGATTAGAGGGAGAGGGGACAAAAAATTAGTTAAACAGTTAACAGACACAAATTAAGATGGTAAAAAGGAAAGACTAAACAAAGAGGGGATGATCAGCACAGTGTCATGAAGAAAAGACACAAAGATGTTTACAAGAAACAGAGTCAACAAGAGTAAACACAATTACAAACATAATCCTGCAATATCAGCAATAATAAACATTAAATTATGAGTTGATGTCAAGGCAGATAGGCAAAACGAACAGACATGGACAGGGAAAAGGACTACATAAGTGACCACTGACAGGTTTGGCAGATGACAATCCTACATTCATATTAGTACATGAAGTTTATTCTTTTTTTTTTTTTAAACTCCAGAATAGTTTTCCATTTGCAGATATGCAGTATTATATTTTCTTTATCCATTTATCTTAAGGGTTCAAATGTTTTCAGTTTCTGGCTCTTACATATGATCTGGCTCTGAACATTCTCTCACATATTTTGGACATGTTGTTAGGAGGGGTCAGTCCTTGGAGAAAGAACATCATGCTTAGAAATGTGGAGGGTCAAGGGTTTTTTTTTTAAATTTTATTTTTATTTTATTATTTTGTGTGTGTACTCCATAAAATAGGTTCTGACTGGTACAGGAGGAGATTGCCCCTCTTTCTCCAGCAGAGCATCTGCTGGATTTGAACAGTGTAACTCTGAGATTGCAGTGTAGCTTCTTGCAACTAGGCCACCAGAGCTTCCAGGTCAAGGTTTAAGAGAGGAAGACTCTCAAAATGGACTGACACGATTGTAACAATGGGATGAAGTATGCTGGAGATGGTAAAGATGGTACAGGAAACATCAGAGTCAGATCTATTGTTCATAGGGTCGCTCTGAGTTGCAACAACACTCATATAGATGTAGTTTTCCTTTCCTGTGGGTAAACTCCTAGGAATGGAATTGCTGAGGTGTTTGGTTAAATTTATGATGAGCTTTCTGAAAAACTGTGAAACTACTTTCCATAGTATAGTACCAATTTACACTGCCATCAGAAACTAATGAGAGTTCTAGTTTTTTCACACTCTAATGCTTGCTGCAGAGGGTTAAGGACTGCAGCCATCAGTATGGATTGAGGCTCAATGTCAAGAAGACAAAGATTCTCACCACTGGACCAATTAGCAGCATCAGGATGGATGGTGAAGAGATTGAGATTGTTAACAACTTGAGTCTGCTTGACTCCATGGTCAACACTCTTGGCACCAGTAGCCAGGAAATAAAAAAATGTATTTCCATGGGAAAGTCTGCTGTTAGGGATCTCTCCAGGGTACTGAAGAACAATGGTGTCTCTCTGGAGACTAAGGTGCGTCTGAAACAGGCCATGGTCTTTGCAATCACTTGTTATGCATCAGAGAGTTAGGCAATGACTAAGGAGGACAGAAGGAGAATTGATGCCTTTGAGCTGTGGTGCTGGAGAAGAGTACTGAATGTACCCTGGACTGCCAAGAAAACAAACAGATTTATCCTGGAGAGGGTTAAACCAGGCTGCTCCTTGGAGGCAAGGATTCTGGGGCTTTGTCTGACATACTTTGGACACGTTGTAAGGAGGAACAGCTTCTTGGAAAGGCACATCATGCTTGGGAGGGTGGAGGGACAGCGCAGGAGGGGAAGACCCTCTATGAGGTGGATTGATTCAGTGACTGGGGTAATCGGGATGGGTGTGTCAGAGGCAGTGCGATTGGCACAGGATAGAGCAGGGTTTAGGGCTGTTGTACATAGGGTCGCTATGAGTCGCAAGCGACTTGACGGCACATAACAACAACAATCAACACTTGCTACTGTTCGTCTTTTTTAATACAATCATTCCAAAGAGTGTAAAGTAGTATTTCCCAAATGAAGTTCAGCATCTTTTCACACGTTTATTTGTCATTATATCTCTTCTTTGGCAAAATAGCTATCTGTGGTATCAAAGGTTTATTGTTCAAAATAGTTTTTTCAGCCATTAACTGACTTCTGCCACATGCCTGCACGAGAATATACAAATA